AACTGAACTCTCAAAATCATTTGTTTGATGCTTTGGCTGTGCTAGAGCAAAAATAAATGTATTGTTTAATGATTAGGAACTGTCTTAATAAACAATTTCCAATGAGTCCAAAAGTAGAACAAAAATAGCCAGAGAGGAAAAACTGTGGATCAGTAAGATCATAAAATGTGTGTGTGTGTGTGTGTGTGTGTGTGTGTGTACACGTGCGAACACACACACTCTTTTCCCACCTTCCCACTTTTGTTTCTTCACTCTCTTGTCTTCTCTTTCCCTCCCTCCCCTCCCGAAATCTCCTCTCCCCCCTTACTCTCTCCCCTCTCCTCCCTTCTCCTCTCTTCTCCCATCCTCTCCCTCTCCCTCTCTCCTCTCCTCTCCTTTTTCCTCTCCTCTCCCTGGATTTATCTCTTCCTTCTCTTTCCTTTCTCAAGTCCTAGCATTAAGTACCTAGTACCTTAATGTATGCAGTACCATGTTCACAAGGCCATGAACTGCTTTATGAGAAGTTTATTCTTCAGCTTAGTTATTTTTCTTTCCATGAAGGATGGGCCTGAGCCTTTCCCTTCTCTCAAATGGAAAGTGACAGTCATCTTAATGACAGAGGCACTGAGTGACTATAGAGCCACCAGCCAGTACCAACCCCCAAAGCAACAGATAATTCACTTTCGATCTTTAGTCCTAGGTCAATAAGTAGAGGAGACCGCTCTTTAGTGCTCCAGAGTTACACAAAGTGTTTCTCTGGGCTGGCTCTCAGCAGAGAGCAGGATACAACACTGTGGGAAAAGCCTGGGATATATTTGGTCTGCGCCCTTGGAGCTGGGTAGCTAGTCTGTCACCGGGTCCCACAACTCCCCCTTGCTGTTTATGTGTCCTTAAGGCCAGTGCTCACCTCCCAGATGTGGAAGGCACAGGATCCCCAAAACAGCACTGCTGGGGGCCTCTGGCATCCAAACCTGGCCTCCTGCTACCTCTACCAGGCCCTTGATCCAGCACTGGGTAAGACCAAAGGGAACAGACTACCCTAGACTTGCACATTCTGGGCTAACTGGTGGCCCTGGGCATGAATGCAATGACAGAAAGCTCTCTCTGGATTTCAATAACTTGCCTTTGCTCTCAGCAGGGCAGAGAAAGCACCCAGACCAGAATGCAGCCAGCCGTGTCCCTCAGCCCTGCTGGTCACTGCAGCCCCCAGAGGCACAGAGAGGCTGCCTTCCTTCACAGACCCAGCTCTGCTGTGGAATGGGAGAAATGTTTTTCTAACTTAATCTCAATAGCAGCTGTTAAATTCTTTCTCTGTGGCTAAATGTGAATGTCTTGCTTTAGGAAACTTGTCTCCTTGTAGTTATTATCAGGTTAAATACCCAGTCTAAAACTTCAGTAGGGACATCATGCCTAGAAATGTATATCTATAATCCCAGCTATTCCGAGGGCAGAAATAGGGTTGTAGTGCGGGATCTCAGTGAACCCAGGCAAAAGTCTAAGTCCCTATCTGAAAAAATAAACTATTACTTGAATCATACTTTTGTATGATTCTTGCCTAACAGGACCCTAGTTCAAACCCCAGTACCTCCAAAAATCACAGGCAGTAGAGCCAGGCAAGTCAAAACCAATTTGTTTTTATACTTATTGTGTGCTAGATAATGCACTGGCTGTTTTATGTGTTATTGCTTTTAATTATCTCAAGGCCCTACTATATTATGTATACAGTATTTATTACATTGGTCAGCACTGTATTATCATCAATAATTGAAGCTAACTGTATAATCACGTTAGAGTACAGAACACTTAGGCTGGGGAGGAGGGAGAAAACTTGCTTCAGATCACATGACTACAGCCATGAGTTCAGAACACCAGTTTGCTCCCTCCTCCCCATTTCTCTTGCAGTACTGTGGTTTGAACACAGTACCTTGTTCTTGCTAGGCAAGCATCTGCCAATTGAACCACACCTCCAGCTCTTCCCCTATCTCGTCTTATTTCACCTAAGTCCATGCAAGTGTGAACATAAACTGATGCAGAGCTTATAGGACACAGATGAATTGGTATGACCTGTTTGACTTTGGAAAGAAATTAAATATATGCACACAGAGGAAGAACCTACGAATGATATTCTTGATAACAAATGTAATGATCCTTGACTTATGATGGCTCAAGTTATGATCTTCAACCTTATGATGGTGGGAAATCAGTATACCTCTAATGAAACCTATGCCTCCTGTTTTGAATTTTGATCATTCTCTTGACTAGCATATTAGGGCAGTGGTGGCAAATGACAGATACCTCCCAGCCTTGTGATTCTGAGGGTAAACAGCAGATCTGCTAGTTTGGGCTGTGTGGTCAAGCAATGGGTTAATAGAAGCATCCCAGATATTTTCCCATGTAGTTCTTTCAGCTGATGATGAGTTTACAGGAACATAGTCTCACTGTGAGTCAAAGAGGGCCTGTGGTTGCACATGGTAGTTCATACATTATCTCCAAACCTCCCCAAAGGTCTGGGATGGCAGGACCTTTAGAGACTGATGAGGTCATAGAGTTTCAAGAGGAGGAAGGGGCTTTTCAAGGCTAACCCCAGATCCAAGATTTCAGCATAGCCCCAACTGTCTCCCCTGCAGCTCAGGCAGATATGGGTGTTCATGGACCCAGCAAACTCCCATATGGAATGGGGACAGCGGCTCCCAGGCCAATCTCTCCCACATATTTCTCACTTCATCCAGTGGCTCAAGGAAATGTATGTAGGGTTTTAGATCCCAGAGGCTGGAACCCACAGAGAGACTCAGCTTTGGGAAGAACCAAGAGAAGGCTGCATCTGCATACCAACTGCCCCCGGCTTTGAAGGACATGAGCTGCAGTTTGGATGTTTCCACAACACCTAGGAATTTGAGTCCATCTGTGCAGAACTCTATGAGGCGGGAGCCTCGGCTGGAAGCAAAGAGGCAGGAACAGGGAGTCCTCTGGAGAGATGAAAACATTTTGTCCTCAAGCCTTCTCCATCTGTGCAAGACAGGAAATTCCTCAATTCTCCCGAGACAGCCAGCTTTCTCGACCACTGCAGTCCATTGAGGATGGATCTGTGCATTTCCAATACTGGGCCCCCTAAGCCCACTCCCAAGGCTGCCCTGTCAAAGAGCAGTGCCTAAGGTTGGTATGTGGGAGAGTTTCATATCATGGCCCGGGACACCAGGGGCTCAGCCATCCTAATTGCACCTGTTTTGGAGAAGTATCTCCCTCCCCCAGGGCTCTCCTGGCCTCCTGAGGCAGCTTTCCCAGACTCTCCCTTTCTTTCCCCCTCTCCCCCTTTCTACATTTTCAGAGGCTGGGCTGGAAGAGCTTTGCAATTGTTTTCAGTGGTTGCAAATAAAAAATTCAGTGGCATGTTTGGCATTAAACCAGGGCTCCCACTTCCTGGAGAAGGTTTGGTGTTTGATTCCCAAGATTCTTGAGAACCCAAGATCAACAGTCCTTATCTCTGAAAACTTCACTATTAAGTTAGAAATATCCTGTGAGAAATATCCTGTATTCTGTTACTGTAACAAAATCTCCAGGGCTGGATAATTTGTAAAGAAATGAGGTTCACTTTGGCTCATAGTTACGAAGGCCAAAGAGCATGCATGGCACTGGCATCAGCTTCAGGTGAGGGCATTCTATGGTATCATGTCATGACAGGAAGGGGTAGTGGTTCCATGCAGAAGAAGGCCATGTGTGAGAAAGACTGAGAGAGGTGCTAGGCTCACTTAAAACAATTCATTCTCATGGTAATTAATCCCACTGTGCAAGACCCAACTCCCCCTCACCTCCCTCCCAATACTAGGATTTGAAGTCAGGACCTAGTATTTACTAGACAGGTTCTGTACCACTTTATTTTTCAGATAGAATCTTTCTCACTTTTGCTTGGGGGAACTAGCTTCAAACCATGATTCTTCAGATCTCCACATACCAAGTAGCTCAGCTTACAGGCATGAACCACTGTTCCTGATCCAAGACCCAGCTTTGAGAGAGGATGAGTCAATATCCAAGTAACCATACTCAGTTTTTGAGGAAGACAGTATACAATAATCACTTCATGAAGCTGGTGGCCAGCCCTGTAGCATTATTTGAGAAAAGGTCTTTGAAACCCAGGCTAGGCTTGAACTTGTGATTCTTCTGCTCCAGACTTCCAAGTGCTGGATTACAAGTGTGTGGCACTATTTTATTTTTAAAAATAAAAATAGGCAATGGTGACTCACACCTGTCTGTAATCCTAGCTTCTCAAGAGGCTATGATCTGAAAAGCAGAAGTTGGGGGGGGGGAGAAGAAGAGGAGGAGGAGAAGGAGGAGGAGAGGAAAAGAAGAAAATGAGGCCTGAGGTTCATGACTCAAGTAGCATCGTGTTTGAGGCCCTAAGTTCAACCTACAATGCCGCTGAAGGAGAGGAAGAGGGTGGAGAAAGAGATGGAAAATGAGAAGGTGAAGTTGTTTGGGATATATTTTGGTATGTTCAATACCTTAGGTTCGTCCCCAGCACTGATGGGAGGAAGAGAAGGGAAAGATGAGAAGAAAAAGGAAGGAGCAAAAGGCAGAAGAAAGAAGAATTTCCTATTTTTCTCTGTGCATGGTACACACAGATCATCTCCTAGAAGTTGAAGAAAATTGGTTGCCTTGGGGAAAGGCTTGATGGTGGGGAAACAGGGTGGGAGGGAGACTCTTTGGCTCCCTTAGTGCCATGTGAGAGTTACCACTTACTCATAAAGGTAAATATGGGAAGGAAACTCTCATAAGACACCAGCTTCCCCAAACCCAGGTTCACTTGAGGAGCCCAAGCCTAGTGTGGGCTCCATACAGAATCATTGTTCTTTCCCCTATTGCCAAACAGAGTTAGGGGATACATTTTCTTCCTGAAGATCTCCAGAACCTCCAAACTCTCATCTGTTCACCAGAACTGAGCCTCAGCACAGCTGTGTCCCAAGTGTCATTGAGGCTGTTGAATGCATGAAGCAATGTTCACACCAGGTTCTGTTGTCCCCACACAGAAAAGAAGAGTGAGGGGAAGAGGAAGCACTTTCTGCCCCTGGCTTCCAGCAAGTCTGTCGCACCCATCTTCCTGCAGGGCCTTTCCGACCTCAAAGTCATGGATGGAAGCCAAGTCACCATGACAGTCCAGGTGTCAGGTCTGTTTCTCTCCTCTGTTCACATTTGCAATTTTCGAACTGTTCCCTAAAGAGCTACTTGGATCACTGATCCAAAATCAGCACGGAGCTGCCAGACAGTGGACCCAAAGAAGTAGGGTCTCTGGCCTGTCTCTTCTCTCTGGGTAGGACTTTATATATTCAAGGTGAAAGGGTCTAGAGGAAGAAGATGGCTGGAGCTAGTGGGGAGAGGGATTAAAGAGAAAAGCATGTAGCCAGCGCAGTTGGAGGGTTTTGAAGCTAGTTCTTACCTAGATTGTGTGAGAACTTCCCAAAACTCACAGAAGATAGTCTCAGTTGCTTTTTTCAAGTTTTAAGGTGAAAGGATAGAGCAGAGGGTCTTCTAAAGCAGGCAAATAAGATCAGATAGTTCACGCCTCACTATGAGCTCTCCCTTTTAGGCTGGAGGTGAGCAGGGAAAGCTCTGGAAGCCCCTGGCTCAGCACTGGTGGCCTGGAGGAGCAGACAAAGGTGTGGTCACATGCACCCATGGTCTTCAGCTCCTGCTCAGTACTTCCGACAGGTTGCAGGTCATTTTTCTGGTTGCTTGGTTCCTCTTGAACTGCAAGCAATAAAGATGAGCTGTGAGAGAACTTGTGGACTTACCTAGAATGGATTCTAGGATGGCCCCCCATTCCTGCAGGCTGGAGGCGATCCTGTGACACCCCTGGCAGTGACTGAGTCCCTTCCCCTGTCCTCCCTTATCATGCCTCACTGAGTCCTCCAGATGGAAGTGGTCAGAGTTGTTCTGTACTTAGTCTCCAGGCATGTGACGTCTACTCTTTTAAAATTCTCCAGAGCCTGAAGCCCTGAGCCTATCTTCTGTAATATGCCCCCAATTACCTGGAAGCAGAGCCTAATGGTTAGCTCTTACACCAGAGCAAACCCTCAATGGTGGCCATTGCTTGATGCACCTTTACATTCTAGAAAAGCATACTGGTAAAACCTGTCAGTGCTATCCACCAGGTACCACAAGCTGATGCCCTGGAACCATAATCCATATGGCAGCAAAACAAAAAATGCCAGCTGTCCTCTTTCCAGTGATGGCCTGGAGGGGAGTTGCCATGAGGCTCTGCTTGCTGCCTGGCTTGGGGTGGGGTGGGGGGACGCATGCAGAGCGTATCACTGTGTGAGGTAGAGCAGGGACAGGTGCAGTTTGAACCCACTAGTCACTTACCAGGATGATGGAGACATCAGCATTATAATTGTAAAAGCCATCCTTCCCTGCTTTTCTTTTTCATCCCTGAAATTATATTTTCACTGCTGTCTTTCTGGTGTCTCCAATCTGTTGTTTAATAGTCATGACGACTGTGTCCAGGGTATGTTTTCTCTGGACTAAATGTCATTCTTTTGGATAGCTCAGGAAGGTGAGGGGGCGACTCATTTAGTCTTCCAACAGTCCCATGAGTGGATCATGGGATCCCCGCTGTGCAGGTCGGGAGACAGAAACCTGCAGTTTGGAAATATTTAGTAGAATTCTATAAGCCTGAGATGCACAGTGGCAGCTGGCCAGGGAAGTTCCTCCCTGACAGTGGCTCTGCCCACCTTTTTTGGTTCAGGGAACCCGCCCCCAGAGGTCATCTGGTTTCACAACGGTAGTGAGATCCAGGAGTCAGAGGACTTCCACTTTGAACAGAGGGGCGCCCAGCACAGCCTTTGCATTCAGGAGGTCTTCCCGGAGGACACGGGCACGTACACCTGTGAGGCTTGGAACAGCGTTGGGGAGGTCCGCAGCCAGGCTGTTCTCACGGTGCAAGGTGAGCCCCAGGCCTCCAGCGGGAGGATGAGGGTGCTTCTGGGGGCCCCTGCTCAATGCAATTTGGAGAGGAGGAAGCCAATGGAAGCTGATTGGGTCCACTCAGCTCCAGAAGCAGCTCCTTATGTGCAGTTCAAGCTCAGCAGCCTACCCTACCAGCTTTGTGAAGTCCCTGCACACCCTGGGCTATGGGTGACAAGCTGCATAGAATGTTAAGAGGGAAACTGGCAATGCACTTAACTGGGCAATGACAGTTTGGGGGTGAGTTATGGGTATATGTGTTCTTGCATGTAGAGAGCTTGTACCTAAGAAGGAAGGAGAGTTAATCACACACACACACACACACACACACACACACACACACACACACACACACACCTCCTACTCATACCTCTGATACAAACCATTAGCACCCAGCACAAGTGCCCCCTTCCTTCTGGCTCTCTCCCCTTGCTGTGGATGTATAGCTTTATATTAATACTACTCTTAGAGAAGGTAAGAGTTGCAGAGTGTTTCTCAGCCAGCTGTTCTTTGGGTAGCGAGCTTCTCACAGCCCCATGCAGCATGGGATGGGTGCTCTGTGCTGAAGGGCTGCCCTCTCTACCTTTCCCCTTTGTCAACTTCCAGAGCCCCATGATGGCACCCAGCCCTGGTTCATCAGCAAGCCTCGCTCAGTGACAGCCTCCCTGGGCCAGAGTGTCCTCATCTCCTGTGCAATAGCTGGTGACCCCTTCCCCACTGTGCACTGGCTCCGCGATGGCAAAGTTCTCTCCAAGGACAATGGCCACTTTGAGGTGTTACAGAATGAGGATGTGTTCACCCTGGTTCTAAAGAACGTCCAGCCCTGGCATGCTGGCCAGTATGAAATCCTGCTCAAGTGAGTCTGCATATCTTGACAGCCTCCTGTATCCCCTTACCCCCACCTCCAATTCCTGCTACCCTAACCTGGGACTGGGCGGTCAGCTGAAGCTCAAGTAAATATGGGGATTGAGATTCAAGCTAAATCAGGTGCAGGCTCAGTGTAGCTAATGAGCCTTTGTTTCTTCCACTTGAGTAGCACATGTGTTCACAGAGGACCCACCATCTGAGCTCAATTCTCCAGAAGCCTCTGTCATACCAAATTCTGGATTTTGCACATCATGTAGTATGATGGGCAATGTAAAAGAGGGAGGGAGGGATTAAAGGTAGAAATGCAGGCGGATCCATGGACACACGTTGCTGTGCAACAAACTGCCCCAAAATTTAGCAGCTTGAAACAACAAATAAGTATTACCTCATGGTTTCTATAGGCTGGTGTATTATTCTGTTTCTTGTTAATATAATCACATACCTGAGGTTGGATAATTTTATAATGAAAAGAGGTTTATTAAGCTTATCATTTTAGTGGTCTAAGGTTAGGGGCTCTATCTGGTGGTTTTTTTTTTTTGCTGGCTGAGTCTTGGGGTACAGAGGATGTCAGAAGGCATGCATGTTTTCTGATATCTCTCACCTTGTATAGCCATTCAATTATAGGGGTCCCACTTTGATGGTTTTATCTAAGCTCCTTCCAAAGGCTGTACCTACAAACAACAAATTGGATTAAGTTTTCACCCTCTTAATAACTCCCAGTAGAGATTAAGTTCCAAAACATGAAACCTTGGGCACACTCAAATCATATCCACACGTGGCAGCTGGGAGCTGTAAACTTCTTAGCGGCATGTTTTTTTTTTTCTTGTTAAGTGGCAGCAGAGACTCAGAAACTGAGTCTCAAAGGCTCAACTGAGATTTGAAGGCCCACTTCCAAGAGGGCTCACACCTGTGTTGTGGCGGGAGGCCTTGGCTCTTTGCTCAGTGTCCTCCCCACACGGCTTCAGTGTCTTCATGACATGGTTGCAGCTTACCCAAGAGGTAGTGATCCAAGAGCAAGCACAAATCTGAACAGGCAAGGCCTTTTGTGACCTAACTTTAGACGTCCTACACCTCCCATCCACCATTCCCTGTCGGGAGTGAGCTGGTAAGCGCAGCCCACATTCAGGGAGATAAGAATTAAGATCCATCTCATGGAGAGAGGAGTGTCAAAAATAATAGACATTTAAAAACCATCATAAGGAGCTTACATTTTTCTGTTTTACCTTTAAAATACCCCAAGTGTTTATTGTTTGTTTGGTGCCAGTCCTCAGGCTTGAACTCTGGGCCTAGACACTTTCCCTAAGCTTTTTTGCTCAAGGCTAGTATTCTACCACCTGAACCACAGTTCCACTTCCAGCTTTTTGATGCTTAATTGGAGATCAAAGTCTTGCAGACTTTCTTTCCCATGCTGGATTCAAATCTCAGTCCTTAGATTTCAGCCTCCTGAGTCCAACACTTAAAATTCTATACTAATCCTAGATTGGTGGAGACAGAATGCCTTCTCTGCCCTAGGCTTGGTGAAGAGCTCCTGTCTATACCTGGATCTGCCATATCCTGAGGGTGGTTAGACTTGTACAAAGCTACTTTTGTACAGAAGACACTGTATGAAAGGAAATGTACTCATTACCTGACTCATTACCTGTAATTGTAATTCCTCTGTATATAACCTCTATAATAACAATAAAGTACATTAAATACCTTTTTAAATCCCAGTATATGCAGGGTGCCATTGCCTCACACCTGTAATCCTAGCAACTCAGGAGGCTGAGAAGCCAGCCTGGGCAGGAAAGCCCACAAGACCCTTATCTCCAATTAACTACCAAATATAGTTAGCTCAAGTAGTAGAGCACAAGCCTTGAGCAAAGAAGCTCAGGGACAGTGCCCAGGACCTGAGTTCAAGCCCCAGGACCATCACACACACACACACCAAAAATCCCAGGATGTCCCCATTACATCAAGTCTTTTTTTTTGTGGGTGGGTCCGGTCGTGGGGCCTGAACTCTGGGCCTGGGCGCTGTCCCTCAGCTCTTCAGCTCAAGGCTAGTGTTCTACCACTTGAGCCACAGCGCCACTTCCAGCTTTTTTCTTTTTGCTTATGTGGTGCTGAGGAATCGAACCCAGGGCCTCAGGCATGCAAGGCAAGCACTCTACCACTGAGCTACCTTCCCAGCCCCTACATCAAGTCTTTTTTATGTATGTGTTTTATACTTGTATTAGCTAGCTTTTGCTGTATAACAAACCACCCTATACTTCATAGTCTTTAAAACATAGCCAATTTTAAAGCTACTTATTATTTCTTAGGATTTTTAGGGTCTATATACTAATGAAGGCAGAGCTCAGTGGGATCTCAACTGATCTCAATGTGGTACTTGTGATTATCAGTTGCTATTCTGCCAATTGATGTATTCAATTGCCTTCATCTTGTGCCTTCATCTACCTCCAAAATAGGAGCCCAAGAGCACCTGCCTAGTGAATTCAAGACTCTTGAGTTCAAACCTTAATTACTACCAAAAAAAAATAAAAATGGACAGATAGACAAGTAAATATGAGGAGTTCATGCTCTTGTCCCTTAGGCTGGATGAAAATGGATTCCCTGTGAAAATACTTGCAGACGAGCTTTCTGTACGAAACACCTTGAGAAAACATTCATGTTAATCAAGCTCAAGTTCAAAATCTATAGGATTATGAGGAGGAAAAAAGAAAGGCTGAGCCTTGGCCAATGAGAAAGGACTTGGGTGGTGAACAGACCAAGCAAGAAAAGGTTGAGTGAAGGAAGTGAGAGCGAAGCAAAGGGTTATGGGAAGTTTGCCAGACCAGAGACTGGGGTTGCCTTGGGAGGCAGACTGTCTGGGGCCAGCTGGGGACAATCATAAAATTTAGTTTGTCCCAGCTGGAAGGGACTTCAGAGGTTTCCTAGCCTTCTCCAATTGAATAATGGGGGAAACAGGTCTCAGGTCATGGGCTTGCGCATGACCACCCAAAGGCTACTAGCACAGCCTAACTTTGAGCCCTTGTCTTTGGACTTAAATCAGATGCTCTCCCATTCTTGTAGCCTAACGTGGAGTGTTTCTCTCCAGTGCACTGGAACTAGGGAGCTAGAAATTTGTACTGGTGTATCCATCTTTACAGCCTTCCCCTCTTTCCTCCCCAAGTCCAGCCTCCTCATTCCTCTGAGAGGCCATTGCCCTGGCCTTGGCTCTGTCTGCAACCAAGGAGAAACAAGTCAGTGGAAAGTTCTCCTGGGGAGTGTGTGGTAGGTCTGTCAGCACCCTCCTTCCCTCCCACTTTGCTTGTCCCAACAGCAGCTAGACCTGGCCTCAGAGAGGACTGTGTCTCTAGAAGGAAGGCTGGGTAGCTGGGAAAAGACAGCAGGAGCCCTGGTAGGAGTAAGGGGTCTTACTGTTCCCTGCTAAGATTATGAGACAGGAGTGAGTGGGTTTCTAGCACTCCCTCCTCGACACCACCCTCCCCTAACTCCTGTGCCAAAAAGGAAACTAGCAAAAAAGTTAGGACTCCAGGTCAGATGTGGTAGTGTATGCCTGTAATCCCAGCTATTAGGGATGTGGAGGCAGGAGGATCCTGAGCTTGAGGCCAGCCTGAGTAAAGTTACCAAGACTCACACACACACACAAAAAAAAGTCACCAAGACTCTCCAAAAGAGAGTCTGGAGGTATAGTTCAAATGGTAGAGTATTTTACCTGTAAATGTGAGGCCTGGATTAAATCCCCAGTATTGGGGGCGGCGGGGTGGGGGGGGGGAGAATAAAGCTCCCGATTCCCCTTGAAGCATTTGAAATGTTATGCTTGCCAAGAAATTGTTTGTTTAAGCTAATTTCGTATTAAAATCATCCCACAAGTGGGTGATGTAGGACTGACAGGAGTCAGTTTCAAGGTGAGGCCTGAGAGCGAGTTGAACAGAAGACCCCAAGGAGCTTATCATGGTCCAGGCTTCCCACCATAGGGACAGATTATGGTAAATATGGAAGTCTCTACCTGCTTCTCCCAATCAGGAGATATTTATATGTGTCACTCCAGCTCAGGGGACAGCTCCACATGACTCAAAGCCTCATGGAATGTAACTGAGGTAAAGTGATACCCTCTAGTTAGCATCTGTTCCTGCTTTCTGCATCTGGGCTGCATCCTGCTTCTGACAGGAGGAAACTTGACTGAGAGTGTGAGGAAAGGACTACCAGGTAGACACAGCCCTTAGCCCATAATGGAGCCAGGCCCCAGTGGCTCACCCATGTAATCTCAGCCATTCAGAAGGCTGAGATCTGAGGATCACAGTTCCAACCTAGCCTGGCATGAGACTCGTGTGTGTGTGTGTGTGTGTGTGTGTGTGTGTGTGTTCACACGCATGAGCACATCAGTTGTGGAGCTTGAACTCAGGGCCTAGGCGCTGTCCCTGAGCTCTTTTTGCTCAAAGCTATCACTCTGCCACTTTGAGCCACAGCATCACTTCTGGTTTCTTGTGGTTAATTGGAGATGAGTCTCATGGACTTTTCTGCCAGGGCTGGCTTTGAACCGTGATCCTCAGATCTCAGCCTCCTCAGTACTATGATTACAGGCATGAGCCACCTGTGCCTGGCTCTTGAGACTCTTATCTCCAATTAAACACTTAAGAGCTGGAAGTAGAGCCGTGGCTTAAGTGGTACAGTACTAGCCCTGAGTACATATGCTTGGCTACAGTGCCCAGGGCCTGAGTTCAGGCCCTAGAACCAGCACACAGACACACACAGACACACAGACACACACACACACACACACACACACACACACAGAGTTTAATGATATCCAGTGCCATTCTAAGCAAAAAAAAAAAAAAGACAAAAGGTGTGGCAGCCATAGAAATTCAAGAGTGTTATACAAAACACAGTTCCTAAGGTATCCTAAGTCCTAAGTTGTCCCTTTGGCTCCCAGACTGTCCTCTCCATCCTCCCAATCAGAACGGACCTTTCTTGACTGGACAGTGCTCACAAAAGCCAGCAGAGGGCAGCCTTGCAGGCTTGTGGGACCATCCTCAGTGAATCTCTGCCCAGCCCTGTCCTGAACAGGGCTTCAGCTGCATCACTAAGCAGTTCTGTGTGGCAGTAAAGAATTTGTAACCCTCCCTACCTGAAGGAAGAAAAGAAAGGTCCACTCATGCAGAGGGTTGCTTGTTAGGTTTTTAACATGGAAAGTTGTGACCTCGGGGCATTGGTTGGTGAGTGAAGGTTGGGTCTGCAGTTTAGGAGGAAGAGGAGAAGAATACCAATAAAGTGACCCCTGACATGTAACATGTCTTTGTAAACACAGCAGTTCTATCAGAGGCCCTACCGATGCCTTATTCTCCGATTGACTAATTGATTGTATCATATAATCAAACCCACAGAAAAGTTTCCTACTTCTAGATGTCTATCCTAGCTGCAGTCCAGAGTTATCCTTTTCTCCTTCTTCTTTTGAAGCAAGAGCTGGGAAAATAGAGTGAGTACGAGATTAGAGAGCCTTGGCCTAAATCTTAAGTTTCAGATGGATGTCACAGTTAAGGCTGTGGCCTCCATCTTCCTTGGAGGTCTGCCAGCCCACCACCAAGTCCATGCCTGCCTTGTGCCCCACACAGCACTAAAGCCTTTTGGTCCTTATTGATTCCTTGAATTCTTCAGGAACCGCGTTGGCAAGTGCAGTTGCCAGGTGTCACTGATGCTGCAGAGCAGCCCTACCAGGGCCACACTATGGTGAGTGCCCCCAGGAGTTGCCCGGCCTAGCCCCTTCCTTTACCCACACTTTCCCCCAGGGCTCAGCCCCAGACATTGAGCTGAGACTGAGGCTGAGGCTGCCAGAGCCAAAGGGAGAGATTGGAAAGGGACTCGGTTGGGAGGGAGGGCAGAGGAAAGGAGGGGTGATGTGTGTTTCTTTTTCTTTTCTTTTCTTTTTTTTTTGCACACATCCTTATAAGGCTACTGAAGTCATTACCGATGTAATAAACCAAGTAGGCAAGCAAGCAAACGCCTCTCCCCCAATGTTCCCGTCTATAAACACAGCCTGGCTGGGCCCCCATCTCCCTTCCCCCTCCTCTCTGCCCTCCGCCCGCCCTCCGGGATTTGCTCTCCCCTGACGTTTCTGGCTTACCCAGCCCCTTTTCCTTCTGCTACTTTCCTTTTTTCCCCTCACTGGTTGCAGGGGGCGGGAGCCAGCCAGCTGTGAGGACCTCTGTAGTGGAGGAGTTGATGCTGATGGTGGTGGTGATCGAGATGGGACCCTGAAGCCTGGCTGGTCAGCAAGAGGACAGGGTTGGCCAGAGGAGGAAGACGGAGAGGACGTGAGGGGGTTGCTGAAGAGGCGCGTGGAGACCAAGCTGCACACGGAGGAGTCGATCCGCCAGCAGGAGGTGGAACAGCTGGATTTCCGTGACCTCCTGGGAAAGAAGGTGAGCACCAAGACTGTGTCTGAAGAAGATCTGAAGGAGATCCCGGCTGAGCAGATGGATTTCCGCGCCAACCTGCAACGGCAAGTGAAGCCAAAGACTGTGTCTGAGGAAGAGAGGAAGGTGCATAGTCCCCAGCAGGTAGACTTCCGCTCTGTCCTAGCCAAGAAGGGGACTCCCAAGACCCCTGTGCCTGAAAAGATTCCACCTCCCAAATCTGCCACCCCAGATTTTCGTTCTGTGCTGGGCAGCAAGAAGAAATCACCAGCAGAGAATGGTAGTGGCAGTGCTGAGGCCTTGAATGCCAAGGCTGGGGAAAGTTCCACATCTGTGGGCAATGCACAGCCTGCAGGATCCCTGAAGCCCCTGGCTTGCACCAAGCCTGCTGAGACCCTAAAACCAGTGGCCAATACCAAGACTACTGAGCCATTCAAGCCTGTGGCCAATGCACAACCTGCAGAGGCCCTAAAGCCAGCCAGGAAGGAAGAACTCAAGAAAGAGGTTAAGAATGATGTGAACTGCAAGAGAGGACATGCAGGGTCCACAGAAAATGAGAAAAGAGCAGAGAGCCAAGGGACTGCCCCAACCTTCAAAGAGAAGCTGCAAGATGTCCGTGTGGCAGAGGGTGCAAAGCTGCTACTCCAGTGCCAGGTGATCTCTGATCCCCGAGCCACCATCACCTGGACACTGAATGGAAAGACACTCAAGTCTACTAAGTTCATCATCCTCTCCCAAGAAGGTAAATGAGGTGTGGGGTCGGGGAAAATGGGGATCCTGTGTCTGGGTCACTGTCAGTTCATGTCTGGTGGGTGGCCTCTTATAGCCTACAACCTGAGTTGGAATTTCAGCTCCTGTTCCCCCTTATTCACGGGATAGGGCCCTCACTCAACATCCTTGGGTACATTCCTACCCCCTTGCTGGGGAGAGGGCTGGGCATTTAGAACATGCTCTGTGCTAGTGTCTACCTAGCAGAGCTTTTTCCTGGCACCCTCACCCCTGCTCCCCAGAGTAGACCTGGGCCTGAATTGGTTGGTACTCCATAGCCTGGCATGGAGAAGGCTAGGAAATGGGGGCCAATGACAGAGGCAGCCAGGGACTCTGAGCCAAGAGCTGCTTGAGAAACAGCACTTTGGATTTGAGGAAGGCTGGGTGATAACGGGACAGTATAGGACTGTGAGTTGGAGTCAACAACAGACTGGGGCTTGAGAGCAGTGTGGGTTTGAGAGACCAGAGGGAGAAACCAGAAGCCCAAAAGAGCCCCAACTACATGCATTCACTAGCCAAGCTCAGAACTAGCTGCTTGCTTCCTAATTTGGATGAGACCTGTGTTTGCTGGGATTTCACATTCTTGGATGGTGGGGGAGAACGGGGGCGGGAATCCTATTATCTGTGGCTTTTTGGGGGTCTGGAGTCCCCAGATGGGCCAGTTTATACCTGGAGAAGAGAGCGAGTGCAAAGAGGATTTACCTAGCCCCGTGGAGTCTGTCAGAAACTCTGAGGCCAGTAGATAACCCATGTCCCTCTCTGGTGGCCGGAGTTGTCCAAGCTGAAAACCGATGCTGGGACTCTGGCCAGGGCAGGTTACAAAGAAGCTAAGTCCTTCAGGAGGTAGAATTTACTCTTGGGGGCCTGAGGCAGCCACCATAGAAGCCTTAAGAACAAGTCATGGTAAAGTGAACACAAGCAATTCAGCTGAGCCCTCAGATCAGGCACTCTTCCCCTCTGCTCTCTCTAGCTTGGTCACACCCCTCATCCCCTCTTTCTCTTGTCCCTCATCCCAGGCCATCTTCCTCCTTCAACCTGGAAGGAATAGGCATTCTCAGATCATCTCACTCTGCTTCTGAGGCAAATCTGGGGCAGCGGAGCATAGAAAATCTCAAGACTATAGGAGTGAAGGGGAAACTGGACTTCCCTCTCAGCAGAGAAAAAGCAGGTTGTTTCTGCTAATGTGTTATCATGGAAACTTTTTACATGGGCATCCCCAGATTGACAGGGTCCTCTTGAGGTGTTTCTTCCATCCCCGTCTGCCCGCCTTGCTTCTGCCACGTCCACACAAGTGGTTGTGGAGGACCACCTATGGGATATGTGGGGGGAGTGGGGGGAGTGGAGGCCACCATCCCCCACAATATTCCTGGGAAGGGGACCTCCAAGTTGGAAAGCCCTTGGCCAGACTGATTGGAGACTGTGACCAGGAACATTTCTCAGGTTACCCTGTAGTGATCCTTCTGGGCACGATGAGAGAGTGGGTGACTAGTCAGCAGCTTTGAGACCTGTGCAGTAACCTAGATTGACATGATGAGAGCTCCATGAAAACTAGGTTCAGACAGTATTGGGGGTGGGAGTGGGGAGAGGGCAATGCTCTCTCTCCCCCCCCACCTCTCTTTCTCTGAATGAGCCTATCTTGACACAGCAAAGGGGAGAGTGTCTTGTCTGAAAACATCAGCCCTGCTTCCTGTTCCTACACTCATCACTCACTTCTGCTTTAAGAGCAGTGCTTTGTTAGGGCTTATCGGTTGCTACCTGACCATGTCCAACAGCAGGGAGCAGAGCATGCTCTGTGGAGGCACAAGCTTTGGCTCATAGTAAAAAAAAAAAAGGGGGGGGTTGGAACCAAGTGCCCCTGAGTGGGTCACTAAGTGTCATCTGAGCCCTGACGCAGGCCAGGCTTAAGCAACAGGGAGGTGGTCAGAAAGTGGACTCTCCAATCAGGGGTCCCCCAGCACCAAAGATAGGCTTCTCATATTCCATCTGGACTGGAGAGGATGGCTTTTTCCAGTTTCATCCTATGTTATGCCAGGGAATTTAACTTTGAAAGCAACAGGGAGCTATGCAAGACTTTGGGGATGAGGAGCATCATGCACAAAATTTAGACTTTAGGGATTTTGATTGACTTTGTGCCAAGAACACAAGTCTGTAAACCTGCTTAAGAGGTCAGTGAGAAAGATGACAAGGCTTAGACTAGCACGATGGGCATGGCCACAAAGAAGACAGAAGTCATAGAGCCTGTGGCCTGGCTTGAATGGCTGGGCAGGGATGGGACTAGCTAAGAGGGGGAAGGATTGGCAGCCCCATGTGTGCATGTAGGTGTCTGGGCCACAGGAATGATGTCAGGTGGCAGGTGGCTTGAGTCAGCTCATAGAGGAAGAATAAGGAAATGGCTACTCCATCTCTCCATCTCCCCAGCTTTCCCCACTGAGTTGAATTCTTCTCCCTCCATTGCACTGACTCTCATCCTGTCATCTTTTCTGCCATTAAAATTCGCTTCCTCCAGGATGTCTTCCCAGGCCATTCTCACCACGTTATCAAGAGATACTTGTTCCCTCCTTGCTCTCCATCAACACACATTTGTGAGTGTGGCCACTGCTAGTGGATGTGCTGTTAGTAGGCTTCTCGGATGTTCTAGCTCGGATAAGCCTACAGATCACCAACAAGAGACCCAGAGAAGATGTGTGATAGCCATTGGCAGGAGCTGACCATTATTTAACACTCAGAGGGACAGTCATGTAGAAATGTTTTTCTTCCTATATTCCCAGAACTGTAGAGAGATGGTGTTCAGGGTGCTGCTAGCTGACCCCTCCAGGGTTAGGCATTGGGTCTTCCTTTCTAGACCTGTCTTGGCTGCAGGATGGGAGGCAATGGCCAGTGAGCCCAGAAGAGGGCTGAGGTAGTGTTCCAAGTGCTTTATCTTTCTGCTTTGCTTTCCGCCTCCAGGCCAGGCTTCCCTCAGCAAAGCATTTCTCTCAGTGTCATAAGGAGGATTTGTTTTTGTTGCTGTTGTCAAGACATGACTCATTTTTAATTGCCTTCAGGATGGAATTTTGTCAAAGCTTTTTAAAAACTATATAAGTCCATCCTACAGGGATGAAGAGAGAGTGATGTTCCCTACTATATGCAAAGGGATTATTCCATTGGAAAGATGGACATATAATCCACTTGAAGAACTCTAAATTAGAATTAGGTTCTGTTTGATACATGACCTTTCTTGCATAGACCACCTGTTGCAAAAATGGCCTTTGTCATTCTCAGAATGGTGTGTGTGTGTTTTCTTGTAACTGTGTTCCAGGCTCAGGGAAAGAATTCATGGTAGATACAGTCAGTGCCCTCAGACCTAGGTGTGGGAGACAGGCATGTATTTCAGTAATGACCTTGAGAGAAGTATTTTGGTCATGGTGAGCTCCAGGTGTCTTGAAAACCAAGGAGAGGTACAGCTAGAGCTAGGAACTCATGAGTAATACAGAGGGTACAGGCCTAAAGAAGTAGCCAGGGGGTGAGTGGCATTGCTGATCTGTTCCTACCAAGTGGGCAAGTCAGAGACTCTGCTGAGGAGGCAGAACCTTCAGGCCTTCAAACTATTCCCTGCCCCTACCCAGCCCCTTTCTCCCTGCTCCCACCCCCTGCTCAGCAAATGAGAGAGCTGGGGAGGTCTTCAAACACACAACACTGACTCCCTGGACAAGAAAGGCTCTGGGCAGAGCTCCTGCTGAACCACTCAATGGATTCCTGTTCCTGGCTTTTTCCCTTTCTCTTCACCACCTTAAAATTCCCCACTAGATTGAGGCAAGAAAAAAAGAAAGAAAGAAAGAAGAAGGAAGGGAGAAAGAGAGAGAAAGAAGGGAGGAAAGAAGGAAAGAAAAGGAAACTCTGGGAAACAGTTTTCTTCTGGAGGTCAGGAATGAGCTGTCCCACAGGAAATACCAGATTCTTCATCTGGGGTAGCCAGCCTCCCAGCCTGCTCTGGCCCTCCCTCAGCCCACGCCTGCTGGTGGCCAGGGTCTGCTCTGGTACTTGGAAGAGCTGGGGAGAAGGGGCAGGACTGAGTCCAAACTGCCCTCCCCAGCAGCTCACTACTGTCAGCCATGTGTGTCATTTTTGTTTAAGGCTGAATGAAGGCAGCCAGGCACTGAAACTGAAAGAAAACTGAAGACTTGAGCCGTACATTCCTGGGCCAGAGTGGGGTTTGGGGGGTGGGGATCACTCCCAGAGCCTCAGCCCTACCTGATGGAGGGTCAATTTCACTTAAGACTCCACTTTCAGGCCAGAGGTCATTTCAGCATCTTCCTGCTACCCAGATGAATGAAAAGTTCTCTCTCTAGAGGGTTGTTACCCTCACTCCAATATCCTTGTGTCTCTCCATTCTCACCACCATGCCAGACTTTCTCAAGTTCCAACAAAATCCTTTTTGCTGCAGTTTCTATCGATTGTCTCCTAACCACAGTGGGAAGAGACCCTGGCCAGTTGCCCTTCCTGAGGAAAGAGAGAGTGAGGCCTGTCAAAGAATGTGTGGAAAGGGGAAAGGGTATAGGAGATATGGGACTCCAATCAGCCATGTTGTCCTGGGAAGTCTCAGGCCTTTTCTTTCTCCCAGTCTGAGGGAGAGTCTCTGGGCCCAACTAATGCCAAACTTGCTCTCTGGATCTCCTTGTGTTAGTCAGACCTATGTGTCCCCCTAAAGTAGAGAAAGGAATTGTAGGAAATAGGGTAGGTATCCTTTTTGAGATCCTCTGGGAATTGGGCCCATTGGCTTCCCTTCTGGTCTGGCTCCCCACACACATACCTCTGGGACACACACATAGCTCTGGGCTCCTAGTGCCCATGGCTTATGGGAGCTGGGGATATATTGCTCTAGGCATCAGGATACACTGGGCTCTTCAAGTGATGACTGCTGCCCTGACCAACAGGGCAACCTCAGGCAGGATGCCATGCTATCAGAATGTATCAGAATGCAGAAACCTAGAAGGCCCAGCTCTCAACTGGCCTCTCCCCATACCCTAAAGGAAACCTCAGGAGTTCTCTCTATCCACCTCCCATCCCTACCCCCATTTCTAGAGAAGTAGCCAGCCAAAGTTGAAAGAACCAAATGGTCAAAAGGCAGATCCCAGATTCCTGCGTGGGCTGATGTGACTCCTTTCCCCCCACCTCCAGTCAGGCCAGAGGAGGTGGGGAGAGAGTCAAGGGTAGACCAGTTGATGATCTGCCTCTCTCTGAGACAGTCAGAAGACCTGGACCCAAAGGAAGACAGCCCCAGGTGCCTCTCCTGACAAAGTGCCTCTCACTGGCTCCAGTTTTTTTGTTGTTTTTTTTTAATCTCAGATCGTCTTCCTGAAAAGCCAATGTCATGGTCCCATACTAGAATCTCCTTCTCCCAACAGATCTTCCCAAAAGTCTGTGTCCCTGGCTGGGCAAGGGTTCCTTCCTCTCCCACCCATTTCTTTATCAAAAATCCCCTTTCCAAGAGACACTCTTAGAATCAGTACCAGGGCTGGCCAGAGCCCCCTCCTGAGCCACTGTATCCAGCATAGTTTTGGAACCTGCACCTAATTCCTTTCCTCTTGGTCAGGGCACAGGGTTCAGAACCATCTCCATCCATTCCTTCTATTGCATCAGATGCTCTTGAGGGTCTGAAGCTACTTCTCTCCTCCTCCTGAAGCCTCCAAGGAAGGCTGAGTGGTACTTGGAGGAGCATAACAACTTTTGGAAACAGATTATCAGCAAGAGACTACACTGGCCTCAGCAAGGCCTGGATTGATTCCCACAGGCCTCTGCTCCTGGAGGCTGCTGTGGAAAGATGGGGCCTGCTGTGTTCCAGATGCCAGGCAGGTACTGGGACCTACCTGGGCTACTCACCCTCTCTTCCTATTCCCTCACAGGCTCACTGTGTTCAGTGTCCATTGAGAAGGCACTGCCAGAGGACAGGGGCCTATACAAGTGTGTAGCCAAGAATGCGGCTGGACAAGCTGAGTGCTCCTGCCAGGTCACCGTGGATGGTAAGCCATGCCCACTCATTGTCATAATCTCTTAATGCCTCCTGCACCTGGATGACCTGCTCCCAATGGTTCCCATTCCTACCTAGGAATTCCTTTGGTGAAAATGAAACTATCTTTTTCAAAAACAAGACAGGAAAAAAAGTGACAGCCCTCCTTGATCACCCATATAATGGCCTCTTCCTGCACCTCCTGCTTGGAGGAGGGGGCTCTTCATCTCCTCCTCCTTTTCTTCCTTCTTTTCCCTCTTCTCCTTTTCCTCCTCCCCTTCCTCCTCTTATAATCCTGACCTCACATCCAGAACCCTCTAAACAGGAACACCAGGCACTAGGGCACTTGCAGAAGAAAGGACACACCCACAGGAAAATGATTACAAGGGTTTTTTTTTTTTTTCTAAAGCCAGCAAACAAGAGTGACTGCTGGTGCTGGGGCACACAGACCCAACCTGGGTCCTGGGGAATTGAGGAGGGAGCTGAGTGTGGGAGCGTCTTCGAGGAAAAGGTGAGTCAGGCTGAGGCTTAGGGCAGAGAGAACAGAGCCACCTCTGCCAAAAGAAAACAGCAATAGTGAGACAGGGAGAGAAGAGAGAAGTTGAGATGGGAGGAGCCATGGGAGAAAGAGCAGACCCATTTGGTGTGAGTGGGGTTTCCATCTTAGGCAGGGAAAAGACCTCACTGGGAGACTTGGGATTTGTTCTGAAGAAATGGAAGAAGTTTGTATTTGTGACTCTTTTCTCCCCTCCCTAAGGAGTATAGGTAAGAGAATTTGAATAGAATGAACCTTATGATGGCTTAGATTGATACTATTAATATTTACTATTATTATTTTATCAACATCATCATCACAGTATTGGGTATCAGACCCTCAAAGGCTTTGTAAATACTCTTACCACTAAAGTACATCTCCAGCCCCAACACTCTCATTTTAGAGATGTGAGAACTGAGGCCATTCAGAGAGGAAATAGACTGGTTGAGACCCCCTGAGCCCTTTATGGTGAGCTAGCGCAGAAGACCATCTGGGGATTCCCAATCTAGTGCCCTTTCTTTGACTTTTAATACTTACCTGGAAATGTCTAAAAGGGTAGGTTTTTGAAAACAAGCTTCTTGCCCTTGACATGCCTGGTTAATAACCCATCAGTGACATGTCAAAAGCTAGTGTCCAAATAAGGTGTCTGGAAGAACAGCTTTGTTGTTCTCCTGGCTCCTGAATGGAATCGCTTGAGTCCTAAAATGCTAATCTGTTTTACTGCCACCTTGCAAGATGCAGAATCACTGTCCTCATTCCTGATTGCATAATCTGATCTCTTGATCATAAAACTGTGATCTACTGAACGTAATGAATGGGAAAAAGGAGGCAAAGTCTTATAAAGAGATGTCTTTTAAATACACAGTGACAAGGTAAATTAAATTGCTAGCAGCCAAAAAAGGAGATGCTGATATCCTCTGAGATTGTTTCTGCTCCCAAGAGTGCTGGACATACTGACTCTAGAAAAGCAGATCTAGCAGATCAGCTGAAGGGAGGACAGAGGAGATGATGGAGAGAAGCTGACGCTCAGACTCACCTGGGAGCTCACCACCCAGGTCAGAGTTCTGCTTCTTTCCAGGTGTTACAGCTTTCTGGGGAATTTGACCCCAGAAGATGATTTCTAATCGCTCCATGTTCATGTTGACTCACAGTCCTTCCACACAGGAATCCCAGGACTCTTGAACTCCTATTTGCAAGGCTAGCTGCAAACTGGAGAGCAATTCATTCTTCTTAGCTGTAAAGTGTTAGCATCTTGCCCAGATTTGTTTGCACAGTGAAATTTCCTTTACTCCTACAGATTCAGAATCTTTAGTGACCTTTTTTTTTCTTCAAGGTTTAAGGAATTCTTTCTGCCACTTAAGGAACTATGCTTGCCCCGAGGTCTACTAGAAGATTCTTTTGCTGTCCCCACTATTATTTTTTTGTCGGTCATGGGGCTTGAACTCAAGGACTGGGAACTGTCCCTGAGCTCTTTTTACTTAAGACTCGTGTTCTTCTATTTGGTGTCAGTGACACTTTCGGTTTTCTGGTGGTTAATTGGAGATGAGTCTCACACACTTTCCAGCCCAGACTGGCTTTGAACAGTGATCCTCAGATTGTAATCTCTTGAGTAATTAGGATTACAGGTATGAACTACTGGTGCCTGGCTTTGTCCCTACTAATACTCTGTGTGTGTGTGTGTGTGTGTGTGTGTGTGTGTGTGTGTGTGTGTGTGTGTGTGTGTGTGTGTGTGTGTGTACATGCACTGCATCCCAGGGCTTGAACTCAGGATCTGAACACTATCCAGACTTTTTTTGCTCAAGGCTGGTGCTCTACCACTTGAGTCACAACTTCATTTCTGGCTGTTTTTAGTAGTTTGGTGGGGATAGCACTCTCACAAACTTTCCTACCCAAGTTAGCTTTGAACCTCAGCCTCTTGAGTAGCTAGAATTACAGGCATGACCAGCATTATCTATCTCTAGTTCTTTCATGTGGCCACTGGCCACAAACTAGGAGCTGGGCTTTGGGAGAAAAGCTAAAAGTGATAGGAGATAGATAACAAACTGAGTCTCAGTTAATTGAGGCTAGTTTGGTTTTCAGAGAAAAAGAAATAGGGACACCTTCTTCACTTCTTTTTCCCTGTTCTTACTCTTGGAGAATTATCAGTGTCCTGTGTACTGGGTAGGATCCAGCCACGCTTAGCTCTATTTTCCATGGAGAGCCTTCACTGCTTTCCTGTCATGTTGCATTGTTGCACCTTTCTACCTCCTTTTGTCTGGTGCTCTACCCAGCTGAAAAAACTTCCTGTCTTTTCATTTGCCCTTCTTCCTCTCAGCTATCCCCACAGCATGATACTTAGGGATTCCAATGAGTCTGAGTATCCTTTGAAATTATAGACAAGTTTTGTTGCATATGTGAACTAGAGCATCTTTATGAAGAGCAAAGCTCATAATTTTAGTCAAAAAAAAGTTGCTTGAGCAAGTGCCGTGGCTTCCACATGTAATCCTAGGCACTCCGGAAGCATGGATAAGAAGGATCATGGTTTGAGGCTGGGCTGGTGGGGATAGTCACAAGACACCCCAAAAAAAGACTCTCAATAAAAAGCTGGGCATCACAGCACATGCCTGTTATTCTAGCTACTCAGGAAGTGAACTAGGATTGTGGTCCAGGCCAGTCCAGTTATACATGTGAGACTCCTATTTGAAAAATAACCAAAGCAAAAAGGGCTAAGGGAGTGCCTCAAATTCCAGAGCACCTGCCTGGAAAGTACAAGGCCCTGAGTTCAAACTCCAATACCACAAAAAAGGAAAGGAGGGAAGTAGGAAGGAAAGGGAAAGGGGGAGAGAGAGAGAAAGACTTAAGCCAGGTGGAGTGATGCACACCTGTAATCTCAGCATTCAGGAAGCTGGAGGCAGGAGGATCTTGAATTTGAGGCTAGTTTGGACTATATAGCAAAGCCCTGTTTGGGGAATTTTTTTTTTCAGTGAAAGAAGGCAGCAGCAGGGGGGAACCACTTGCTCTGAAGAGTAGCCAAGGTTGAACCGTAGTTGAATTTTCAACCACTCTAGTCATTGTTGGACGCATTCAGTTCATCCACAAGTAACTCTCAGGCTGATTTCTGGGCAAGGCCAGTCCTGTGTTCCTCACAAGAGACAATGAGGTCCTCCTCCACAGTGCCAACTTCAGGCTGCTTTCTCCTGCCATTCAGCAGGGAGGGCCACACCCCCTGAAAGCTACTCACCATGTCAGCCTGAGCATTAAAACCATACATCTGAGAGCTGAAGGTGAGGCTCAGGTGGTAGAGTACCTACCTTCCAAGCTGTATTTCAGGCTCTTATCAAAGTAAGCCCAGTAGAGTTCAGTGGCTGTGTCATACACATTATTATTTTCCTTATATAATATGATAGGGGAGGTAACCTGTACAATGCATCATGTCTGGCTATTTTAATTGTGCTATTTGGACCTTTTTTCTATGAACATGGGTATTTTGAACATGTTGTGATTTGGTTATACCACCCTTCCCTTCAAACTCAGCAGAATGGAAGTAAGCCTAGAATGGACAAGTACTTACCAGAAAACTCACCCCAGAAAGAAAGAAAATCTGGCCTTGAGTGTCTGCTCTAGTCAGACTCTTTTACTTTATATTTTCTATTTATACAATAGCTGGTGTTTCTCATGCTCAGCAGCATAAACAGCCTTCCTAGAACGGACACTATGCACACTAAATCCAGACTGGACATCTAGCCTACCTGGCAAATTATAATATGGATCATATAGGCAGGCCTCAGGTGTATCTGGTCCTAGAGCCTTCACTTTTCTATGATTTGGGGCATGGCCTATAAGAATCCCTAATGAGACTGCATAACTCATTTCTTGTGATCCAGATACACAGGAGATAAGAAAGCCCTTCTTAGGCCAGCATAATAGGAGTCAGAAGATATCCTGGTCCCTCCCTGGATCATCCAGCCCTTCCCAGCCCAGACTTCAGCTACAGTGAGAGTAGGAATTTGGCCACACAAGATATATGTGCCATTTTTGGTCAATACTACACACACACACACACACACACACACACACACGCCTACACATACCAAAAAAAAAAATAAGCAGCACACAGGAGACAAGGCAGGAAGATCTTAAATTTGAACCAAACACTCTGAGCCATATAGCAACACCATATCTCAAGAAACAAACAAAAAAGGAGAAGATTGAGAAAGACAGAGCCACCCCATGTCATTGCTCACTCATTCAACAGATACTAATGCTGGGTCTTTCAGGCACTGCTGGAAGAACTGGCATTTGGAACAATAAACAGAAGAAGTACCTGCTCTAACGACTTGACCTTTTAGAGAGGAAGCAATAGTGCAGGTGAACAGATATGTTGCAATGTCAGGTAATGCTGTGTGCTATGAGGAAAGCACAGCCTGGTGATGGGAATGCTACTTCAAAGAGGCGGGTGGCTGAGGCCTGTGGAGGAAGGGACATTTAAACAGAGGCAGGAAGTGATCAAAAGAGTCCCAGAAGAGGGAATAGCAACAAGATTGTGCTTATGACATTCTAGAAGAGGAAATTGGACGGGCAGTATGCTATAGGGTCAGGGCCCAGGTCTCTGAAGCCATGTAGCTCATGATAGGAAGCCAGATTTTATTCCAAGTGTGTTGGGACAACATTGGACACTTGTAAAGCATCACTTAGGTAGAACAGACCCAGGATGTGTCAAGAATGGAGCAGGGAAACAGGTCTTAGGCAATGGCACTATTGAACCTTACGCTCAGTAGAATAGACAGAAAGGATGGGCGTGTTCATAATCTGGTTTGATATAGAACTGATAGGAGTTGCTGATGTTTTGGGTCAGTAGAAGAGAAAGAGGAGTCAGTCCAAGGGCCTTACATAGTCTACTCTTTGTTGAAGTCTTTGTTTTCATGGAGGAGTAAAGCTCAATGCTTATATCACCTACTGAAATCAGATTGTAAGAACTGGGAAACAATCAATAGTTCTCTAAGTATGAAGCTGAAGATGTCCATTAGGCCAAGGAAGCAGATCTCCTTGACTGATATTTAGATATATCTGAGGCTGAGTGGGGTTGGACATGAGGAGGCATCCATGTGTAGAGTCCATCAGATACCTTGGGGATTTACTGAAGTCTTAGAGGCAGATGTGACTGGAACTGGGACAAGGAAGAGAAGTAGAGACCAACAATGAGAGTTTACAGGAGATTATGAAGCATTGGCTGCAGGGAGAAACCCAAGTGAAAGGAGATGTCCCAGAAGCCAAATGATGAGAAGTTCCACAAGAAAAGAATGATCAGGATCAATATTTAAAATACTGCTACTGAGTACAGAGATCGGCCTGAGCATTGGCCCTTGGAGTTGGCAACATGGGTAGAGATCACTGGTGACAATGAGGAGGAAGTCAGGGGAGTGATGGTAAGAAGAGCCTCACCTGAAGTGTGCTGAGGACATCCTGACTAGTTGAGTAAGAATCTAGACTCAAACCCTACACTCTAACCACTGAGGTCCATTGCCACTAAGTCCATTGGCACTTCTGATTGTCACTTACCTTGCCATGTTTCTCAGTCCACTGTTACCTTCATGCTTATTCTTTAAATCATCACAGGCAGTTAATGATTAATAGGCTGAACTAAATAGAACTGCTGGGTTTTTGTTTGTTACTCTCATCTTCCTATGGAGGGAAATAAATGTCAGAAAAGTTCAGAAACTTGGATCCAAGGACTCATGGCCATTAAACAGAGCCAAAAAGGAGCCCTCAAATTTCCTGACTAGAACTCTCTCAATAGAATAACTATCAGGCTGCTTGTTGTCTGGCAAAGGGCCATCCTGGAAGAGGCTGAAACCAGGGCCCCTAAATCTACTCCTAGAAGCTTCCTAAGGCCTCCCCCCTCCCTCAGCCTAGGATCAGAGAGCCCCAGATACAACCTCTTGGGGGAAACAAGCAAGCAAAAAAAAAAAATGCTACTCTGGAAAGATTTCCTCCAGAGCTAGTCCAGGAGTGGAAGGGGTGAGGCATTGTCCATATAAGGACAAGTATCCCTCTCTCCATAGAGGCCCCCCACTTCTCCACACCTCCACCCTCCTCCCCCATGCTACTTTGGGGGCACAACAGGGCCAGCAAAGGACTCCAGCCCTGGGGCTCAAATATAGAAATGAAGTTCAGTTTCATCACAAAATGATTAAAATAGACAGAAAACTACAAGCTGCTGTTAAACTTTTATTACTATTATTTTTATCCCCTGGGCAGCAGCGCGAGCACAAAGCTGGTTTTGATTAAGCGTGTGGTCCTTCCAGGCCATTCCTCGCTGGCAGTTCTCACAGAGGACTGGTGGTTCCATGTCCCTGGCCAGGCCCCATGGCACAGCACATAGGCCCCGCAGTGCTGGCACATGAGCAGGGAGTGTGGTCCCCCACGGGGCTCCAGGTTTGCTTTGAAAAGGGAAACTTGAGCCCTATTCCTCACAGCCAGATGGAAAGATAAGGTGTATCCAAAAAATGTCTCAAAACCAGACTCAAAACACAACCCAGTGAGCACTGAGACAGTGCTGAAGCTGACACGGACTGGTCCCAGGGCTTTCTGAAGGTGAAGGATTTTCTCTAGGGGGCTCCAGGGTTGTATAGTCAGAAGGAAGGGATGCATTAAAGGAAACAGTGCTTCTTGGCTCTCCAAAGCACACTTGTGTGCCTTTTCTTTCTTGCCTGGATCTGAGGACACTGAGATAGAGAAAATATGAGGTGTTTTTTTTTTCCTCTGTGCTAATGGCAGAAGCAGAGGTAGAGGGCAGTTTTTGTGATTTGCTCAAATTCTGAAGATGTGAATGACAAAAACAAAAGGAGAACTCATCTCTCTGACCATGATAGGACTCTGAAAGAATGACACATAGGGAGAGAACTAATATAAGGCCCCACTGCTATCTTTCAGAAATCCAAGAAAACAGGCTCCTCATCCTTTGCTCACTCGTGCCTCAGTTTACCCATCAGTAGAAAAAGAATCCTCACTCTTCTATCCCAGTCTCCTCTATGCTCTGGGACTCTTCCAGGAGAATGCTGAAATAGGAATACAGAACTGTGTATACATTCTATCCTTCCAAATCTCCCAAAGTCCCAAGGAAGTTTCTGTCCCTCACACCATGTGTCCACATGGAACTGGTGCTCTTAGGTGTGCACAGCTTCTTGACAGCTTGGCAGACCTGTGTCCTGGTGGCAGGGACCTGGAACTTACTATCTGGGGTTATTCTGCGCTTATGGAAGGTGGTGGGATATGGGTGGTACATAGTAGGGCAGGGGTCAAGGTAGGGGCTAGATTACCAACCTCTGCTTGAAAGGATTTCTTCCATCTTTGTCCCTTACTCTCCACCCCTTGTCATACACTGTTAGAAAGTCCTACTTTTAAGTCCAACTGACTCTTTCCTACAGCTTCACGATAAAGGCCTTCAGCTATCTTTACTATTGCTACTGTTACTTGCAGGACTGAGAGCAAAGGCACATGACAATTTTATAGTTTGCCCAAGTTTTGCATCAGGGCCTATAGCTTGCTAGACAAGTGTTCAACCATTTGAGCCACACTCTAGTCCTTTTGCTTTTAGTTTGTTTTTCAGATACAGCCTAGTCCTCCAACTTCAATCAGTCTACCTCCAGCTTCAGAGGAACTAGGACCACAGGCGTGAACCAACCACCATGCCTGACCTTTTTTTTTTTGACATAAGGTCTTGCCAGCTTTTGCCTGAGCTTGCTTCAAACCTTGATTCTCCTTTCTTCACCTCCAAGTATCTGGGATTACAGGCATGCGTGAGCCACCATGCCCAGCTCTTAGCTGTCTTCAGTGGGAAATTGCCTATCACAGCCCTGTGGCTTCTGAGCTGCCATTCATTTGGACCTACATAATACCTGCACAAAGCCTGTCACTTTGAGCTGGAAAGAGTATGTCCTCAGCCCCTGTATTCTATGTTCCTGGTGCTTTCTGCTCCTGAACTACAGAAGCCCAATCTAGGCAAGACCAGCCAGGGCTACCCGTCCTTGGGGTGGAGACAAGGAGATGGACCTTCCTCCCCAGCCAAGCCACAGGAATGTAACCAAGGCCCCATCTGGAAAGTCCCCCCACCCCCTTCCTCCCTGTGAGCTTCCTTTTCAGGAGCAGGAAATGGAGGACAGGAAGGGACTCAAGGGGAGTGTCCTCCCAGCCTCTCCCCTAAGAGTGTTCCTTGGGTGGAGGGAGGGTGGTAAAAACTGGAGATGGTGATAGCTAGTCAGCCAGCAGCAACTTATCTCAGTCCTGGGTAATTTGCCTATGTCTTAAAGTCCATTTTTAAGGGAATAGCTGTGCTGCCCTGCTCCACCCAGCCTAGCCCAGCCCAGCCCAGCCCAGAGTGCTGATTCCACACTACTCCACAGCTGAGGGCTTCCTCAAGCATTATCCATGCTTTGTATTGAACTAGAAAAGAGAGCTTGGAGCAGAGAGCTGAGAGGCTGTTGCACTGCCCTGCCCAATACATCCAGTGCTGCCCAGCAGGGATCCACTGCACCTACCTTGGGAGAGGAGGTAGTAGAAGCCCTCAGACTTAGTGCTCTCCTTAGCCCCAGGGGTGAGACATGCCAGCTGCCTGCTTCAAGGCCTTTATCTGGCCTGTTTTTGCCCAGGACTAAAGCAAGTCTGAGAAATCAGTGGCTGCCAAGTCCTCCCCTCTGCCAGATCTATAAGCCTAAGGGCCAGGACCCCATTCACTTTGGAAGACCTTTAGGAAGACCAGAACACAGCTGAGTAAGTTGGGACCCAAGGAAAAAGATGGAACAAGCCAAACAGAGGGTGCCCAGCTTGCCAGGGCCATTCCTGGCGGCCTTTGCTGCCATAGCAGGAGCATTAAGCACTTCCCTCGCCTGTGCATCCATCTCTGCTCATGGTTCTGCCATCTGATTTATCAGGCTTGTGCAGTGCAGCAGTCTCTCTCCTTCTTTGGTGCTCCCAGTGGAGCGGCCAGTCCAGGCGTCAGGCTGCTACAGAGAGGGCCTCAGAGAGGAATGTGGGCCGGCACTGGGTTGAGGTGGGGTTCTAACTGAAGTGCCTCCTCTGCTCAGCTCCTTGGACAGCTGCTGACTGACAGTGGTGTTGCTTGTTTTGTTCCAGATGCTCCGGCCAGTGAGAATGCCAAGGCCCCGGAGATGAAATCTCGGAGGCCCAAGAGTTCCCTTCCCCCTGTGCTAGGAACAGAGAGTAAGTACTTACTTGGATTTGTTGTGCAAACCCTTGGACACCCAGGACTGAGGTGGCATCAGAGGTCAGGTCTCCTGATCACCTACTGTGACCTGAGTGCTTCCTGGAGGTCTGGCTTCCTTGTGCTCAAGTGCCCAGTGAGTGATCTCTTGTGGAGATCTCTTCCACAACCCATCTCTTCACACTCATATGTGCCTGGGAGTGGAGGGGTTGCTATGGAGACTTAGATCAGGAGCTGCTCCTGATCTCCCCAGTTGATTCTATCTTACCAGAGGAAGCTTTCTAAATTGTAGTTTTCAATTTCTCGCTCAGGCTGAAATCGCCAATGGTCCTCCCAACCTCTGAAATCCCACAGAAGTGAACCTTTTTTATGTTCACACCCGGGACACCTACCACACATGGGCACATGGGATGTCAACATCTCTCTTACCAGATCTGCCAAATCTTTGAGGTCAAGCACTTGACCTTCTCCTGAGCTTCTTCCTCTTTGCTCTTGAGTCATTCCCTATGGTATACCTTTCTGGTCATTTCTCACTGCAAAGCCATTTTAACTCTGAGGTCTAACCCTCTTCAGCTCAAAGAAACAACTCTGTGAGTTCTCAAAGCATCAGCACCTCCTTCCTCCACTGTCTTGTTCCCAGAATCATGAGATTGCATCCATGTCTCTTCAGATGCTCCTTGAGGGCCTTGCCTAGGCCTTGGTCAGGGACCTTTGAAATTATGTGGTATAAAAAGCCAAAACAAGCAGGGCACTGGTGGCTCATGCCGGTAATCCTAGCTCCTCTGAACCACAATCTGAGGATTCTGGTTCAAAGACAGTCTGGGCATGAAAATCCATGAGACTCTTATCTGCAGTTAATCACCAGAAAACTGGAAGTAGAGCTGTGACTCAGTGTGGTGTAGTACACGCCTTGAGCAAAAGAGCTCAGGGACAGTGCCCAGGTCCAGAGTTCAAGTCCCACAACCAATAAGAAAAAAAAAAAGCCAAGGGAGAAAGGAGCTTCACTGTTCACTGTGACTGAGATAATAAACAGTTACTTCCCTCTTTATTTATTATTCATTTGTATCTCCTCATGTCTCCTTATCCATAGACACCAAGCCCAGGTCCACATTGCTTTTTAGAGACCCACAAAACTGTGCCATCTTACAAAATCAGAAGAAAAAAGAAACAATTCTAAGACAATGTTTTAAATTCATAATATATTGATCTTTATAAGTAGAGCAATTTATAATGTGCAATTCACATAATTAAGGTAATATATGCATATGCTTACATGTATACATACATATTTACACATATGCTTTTATTTTCAGTGTCAGTCCTGGGGCTTGAACTCAGGGCCTAGGTGCTGTCTAGGAGATTTTTTTTTGCTCAAAGATAGCACTCTACCACTTGAACCTACAGCTCTGTTTCCAGCTTTTGGGGGGACAGATAATTGGAAATAAGAATCTCACAGACTTTTGTTTGAACCATCATCTTCAGATCTCAGCCTCCTGAGTAGCTAGGATTACAGGCATGAACCACCAATGCTTGGCAGATATCCCTTTTTTAATGAAAGAAAGAAGGGGCCCAAGAAGACAGAAGTGCCTCAAAAGTTATAATGCAGCCCTGGCTTCCCCTAAAATTACCATACTGATTTGATTACCTGAACTGTTTCTTGACACCTCAAGTTTTAATAGGGTGCAGAATTGTTTGCACATCCCCAACATACTTAGTCTTAAACAGAACACAGGCAAGCTCTTACTTACCTATGCTAATAGAAAAAAAGCAATGCAGCCTGATTCCTTCAAAGACCACTTCTCTTTTTTCCATTGCAAGGCAGTATTTTATGACTTTTCTGTGTTCTTTTTCTTTGTAAAGTGTTATTTTATCTTCCTAATGCTGAGCTTCGGTTCTTTAAACACAGATAGTCAGCCCAAGTCAGGGTAGTGTGGTGAAGCAGCCAAAGTGAACTTACAATTTCTCCTAGATACTTAATCCAAGTGAGTTCAGTATCCATGAGAATAGTGAAGAGGCCACTATTAAGAAGCCTCAATTGTTAAGAGTACAGATTTAATAAAGTGTTTAAAAAGAATCTAATAGAAATGGCTTAGATGCTTTTATTCTCCAGAGGTATTGCCTGGATCTTGTTGAGCTAGTTATGGGAAATGTGAAGAGACCAGGTGTCTCTTGTAGAGAGCAGGTGGGTGATGTGGTGGTTCAGCCACTCCTGTTCTAGGCTCCAGAACCGTGTCCCAGTGGAATTCTGATAGAGGTGAGGCAGCGCCAATGAAGCACTGTGGAGGAGAAAAACAAATGTGAGACAATGAGCAGACACACAACTGGGCTCTTTGCCCTAAAGAGCTATAGAGGCTGTGGAAAACCCCAGTCGTCAACATCAAACCGGAACTCCTAGAGGACAGCAAGGCTATGACTATGTATTGGAGTCACCTGCAGAGCTCATAAACCACAGAGGCCTGGGATGTACCCCACCACCATCCTGTACCTCAGGATCATATCAGAGCCTCAGGGGTGGGACCCTGATTCAGTGGTACATAGGGAAGCCAGGGCCCCACTGTTGGTTTTAAGCAGATCTGCCTGCTGCTGCTATGAAGTATGTAGCCACTGGGGTCCTCTACAGCCACACTTTCAGAATGTTCCAGTGTCTGAGGGGTTCAGGCAGCCCTAATTATGGGAGCAGCAGAGCTGGAAGGAAGTGATTCATCTTCATAGAAAACACACACATTCATGACTGCACCCCTTGTCTGCAAAGAGTGTTTTTCCCTGTGTAGACAGCCTCCATGGTAGAGAGACTCATTCATCACCAAAGAATAGTTGTGTCTCCATGCCCCCTAATAACCATCTTGACTCCTTTTGCTGGCCTATCTACCAGCCCCTATCACCTGAAACCTATCACCACTGACAGCTGCATTAACCGCCCCCAACCTCCGCCAGACACATGTTCTTGTCCTGCCCCGGATACCCAAGGGATACCACAGGGCTTGGGTCCTGGAGCCTCCTGAAGAGGTGGCTGCATGGAGGTAGGAAATGAAGGAGATGTCTTTTATGTCTGTGTCTCCAATATTTTCTCCCTTTGTGGGATAATTTATTGTAACTACAGGAATGAATTCTTTTTTAAGCATTTGAAACAATTCAGAAATAGTATAAGTCCAATGTGAAAATCTATCTCCCAATTTTATAACTCCAATTCAATTACTCTTCTGTGCATTTATATACATATATGTGAAAAATATGTAAATATGCAAATATACAAGTATATCAGTTGGAGGGTTTTTTTGCTTATAGAAATGGAATTAGCCAGGTGCCGGTGGCTCACATCTATAATCCTAGCTACTCAGGCGGCTGAGATCTGAAGTTCATGGTTCAAAGCCAGCTCAGGCAGAAAAGTCCATGAGACGTTTTCTCCAAATAACCATCAGGAAAACAGAAGTAACTCTGTGGCTTAAGTGGTAGAGTGCTCACCTTGAACTGAAGAGCTCAGAGACAGTGCCCAGGCCCAGAGTTCAAGTCCCACAACTGACAAAATAAAAAAGAAAGAAAGAAAGAAAAAAGAATGGAATCCTATAGTCTGGGCATCTTTTTCTTCACTCTGTTTTTTCCAGTCCTGGGGCTTGATCTCAGGGCCTGGGCACTGTCTCTGAGCTTCTTTTGCTCGAAGCTAACACTCTACCACTTGAGCCACAGCACCACTTCCCACTTTTTCTATTTATATGGTACTGAGGAATTAAACTCAGGGCTTCATGCATGCTAGGCAAGTACTCTGCTACTTACACACATTCCTAGCCCCCATCTTTTTCTTTTACTGTCTTCAGTCCCAGACATGTCCAGTTCCATGAGTAATCTGGCTCTGTGTGTGTGTGTGTGTGTGTGTGTGTGTGTGTGTGTGTGTGTGTGTGTGTGTGTATGTTTGTAGGGCCATGAAGTAACTAATCTGAAGTGACTTTCCTGTTGCACCGGAGCATAGCCAGATCCCTTTCTGTGCATGCCCTTGTTCCCAGCCAGGCCCATGTGGTCATGTGAATAAGTTGTCAGGCATGAGCAAGGATGATTCTGTCCACACCATGACTTGGGAGCCCCTGGAGACTCACTGCTGTGGGGTGTGAAGGAGAAGCCAAGTCAGCTGCCCCCAACTCAAGTGACCAAAGAACAAGGGGCCAGGCAATGACTCACAAGCACAAGAGGGAGATGGGGGAGTTAGTGTGGGAGGGTTTGGGAAAGAGGGAAGCTGGGGCTAGGTTATGAAGGAGAAGAATGCAGTTTATGTGGTTTGGTTGAAGAGGAATGATAACACTGGCGGGGGAGGGAAGGCAGGCCGGAGCCTCGGGGGGGAAACAGTACAGATGCGAGGTGACTCTTGTGAGCATGGTTGAGTTGGGCGGCATTAGTTTTCTGAATTCTTGTGTATTAGGCATCGTCTTAGCTGCTCCATCTACATTGCTCCAGCTAAGTTGTTTACTCCACTGTGCAAATAGTTATTGCTTCTATTTTACATATGAGCAAAACTGTCTTAGCAATGAAACTGCCCTACCCAGGGTGTCACAACTAGTAAGGAATGGAACCGTGATACCAACACTAATCTATTTTTCTGCCATAACACCTTGGCCTGGCCACAGACTCAGGGCCTTAGTTTGTGCTTAAGGTTGGATCATAGGAAATAGCAGGAGGAGGTGGGGGACTAGCTGATAAGACTGACAGAGGTCTGACTGGCAAGTCTGGGGCAGGGAGAGGAGGAGGAAGGAGGGGAGTGGAAGGAAAGCAGCTGACATGTGTCTTTGGGTCTAGGGACTTCTCAAGGTATTTGCTACATGCTTGCCAATAGGTTGTTTTTAAATAACTGTTTTGGTATCATTTCAAAGTTGCACAAAAGTTCCAAAAATAGTACAACAAACTCTTACACTATGCTTTACTTGACATTCACTGATTATTTAGATTTTATTCAGTTGTTTTATACCTAATATATGTATATTCACATTTAGACACCTCTTACAAACCAAATTAG